CTGAGCCAAACTAGGTAGGGCTTTGTCTTTTTGAAGAAAAGATTTCAATCTAGAGACAAAGTGTAGGAAAGTAAGAATTTACACTTAGGACAGTGGCAGCGGAAGGGCTTAGGAGCAACAGGAGAGCCGAGGCAAGCCGCTTTGGCTTGCTGGAAAGTCAGAGAAAAAGGGGCCTTGGAGACAGGCTCAGGGGGTTCGCCCAGGACGAGCTGCTGCTGCCGCCCACTGCTCCCCGGGTTGCAGGTCTGGGGAGTGCCTTAGAGGTTAGCGGACACACGCCTGTGGGGGAATGGCAGGGATGTACTCCTTAGAGGGAGAGCGAGCGCTGGGCCCTTCCTCCTGAGCCTATTTATCTCTTTCCTGCAGGTGGAACCGTCAGGGTGGCCTGGGGGCGGGCCTAATAGAAGATGCACCAGCTTTGCAGGTGTGCTCTCTCGGGGTCACGGCCTCTGATTGGTCGGTGCAGGGCAGGGGTCATTAGTCAATGCAGCTGGGCCTGAGGCAGCCATTTCCTTGGTTTTGCTGCTTTTCTGGGCCCAGAGCTGAAATACAACTGAGGCCCAGATGTTACCTCTAGCAGTGTTTCCCAAACTTTTGACATATGTGTACCCCTTCTATAACTTTCATAACGCTGAGTACCCCTCGTACTCATGAGAACGTAGAATTAGGTGCAGCTAAACACGGTGCAGTGCATATCCCCACCAAACTCCGGTGCAACGTGTACCCCCACCAAACTCTTCCCGTGCCCCTGGGGGTACGCGTACCACACTTTGGGAAACCCTGCTCTAGGGTAAGGTGACCAGACATCCCGATTTTGGCGGGACAGTCCCGATTTTTAACGATTTATCCCATGCCCCACGGCATTTTTTAAAAAGTCCAAAAGATTTAAAAGAATCTTTCATAAAAATTGAGACTTTTTTAAAACGCCATGGGACATGGGATAAATTGTTAAAAATCAGGACTGTCCCGCCAAAAGCGGGACATCTGGTCACCTTACTCTAGGGAGGAAAAGTCAGGATGTCTAAGGGATGTGCTAGGGGAGGAAAGGTCACCTGGGGGTGGGGGGGGTGAGTCTTGTTTTTCCAATTTTGCCGCCTGCTAGGCAGCCCTGGCTTTGGACCCTGGTGAGTTCTGTACCCGGTGAGTTTCTCTCCTGGCTCTGCTCCTGTCTGTCCAACTGCCTAGAACACTCGGACTCCTTGCCATGGAACATGAAAGAATAAACTCCATTTTCTAGAAACTGCTGCGTTGAGGTCTCCATCAGCTTCCACAATAACAGCGGTGGGACCCTACGCAGGGGAGCTTGTCACTGACACAGGAGGTTACAGGCCCATGTGGGGACACCAGTGCCACCTCCTCAGTGTGGCCTGTGTCCCCATTCCAGAAGGGAACATACACCCTTATCGACATCTAAACACTGTCCCGAGGCACCAAAGCATCCCAAGTCCTGAGGCCTCTGCGGGGTCCAGCCACCATCAAACCTCCTTTCGGTTGCCTCAGTTTGGGGGTAGACATGAGCGGAGCAAGGATGATAGACCAGGTACAAGCCACCAGGGGGAAAGCCCCGAATGCCTAGCGATGGACCATGTAGGTGGGACCTCGCCCCCAGGGCGACCTTTGCTCCCCTAGCACCGTGGTCGGCAAACCTGGGCTTCCGAGCCACATGCAGCTCTTTGGCCCCTTGAGGGTGGCTCTTCCACAAAATACCACGGCCTGGGCGAGTCTATGTTGAAGAAGTGGCGCTAGAAGAAGTTTAAGTTTAAAAATTTTGGCTCTCAAAAGCAATTTCAATCATTGTCCTGTTGGTATTTGGCTCTGTGGACTAATGAGTTTGCCGACCACTGCCCTGGCACATCGCTGGTCATGCTGTTTGGACCCCCTGACCTTAGACAAGAGATAACCTCTGGGCTTCAATTATGTGTCAGCACCAACCCCAGGTTGGTGGCCCCAGGGCTGAGCTCAGGGCCAGCTGCATTGGATAATGACCCCCCGGCTGGGGCGTGGACCACCCATCAGTGGAGACTTAGACCCTGAAAAAGGCCCACCTGGGAAGCTGCGGAATATTCTAGTGAGATCTTCCCCTGGGGCCCCTCCTAACATTTCCACCCCAAAACCTGAGGACAGGACCCAGCACACACACCCACCACGTGCACCCCAGGCCTCTCCCCTCCCCTTCCTCCAGGCCTGTCCCCATTACTCCCCGCTTCTAAGCCCCCAGGGCCGCTCCTCTGCCTCTGTAACCTGTGGCCTGAGCCCATCGCTTCTATGAAGCATGCTTCCACCTCTGTGATGTCATAAACGAATATTCTCTTGTAGTTTGAGTCTTGGTGCTGAGTGACTTCCTAGCCAGAACTCAGGTACCAAGGTTGCTGCACGCAGATCTGGTCTGACACTTCCCGCCCCCCATCCAACCCCCACCCCACCCCACCCCACCCCACAGTTTAACACCTGGTGCCATGTCCGACGCCCCAACAGTGTGAAGTCCATGCCTTCTGCTATCTACCCCTTTAAAATACTTAGCTTTTGCCCTTACTGGTTTGGCTCAGCAGCTAGAACACCGGCCTTCGGATTGAAGGTTCTAGGGTTTGATTCCAGTACCTTGGTTGTGGGCACAGTAGCGCGTGTGCAGGAGGCAGCTGATTGATATTTCTCTCTCATCTGTTTCAAACTCTCTATCCCTCTCCCTTCCTCTCTGAAAAAAAAAAAAAAATCAATAAATATATTTTAAAAAAATAAAATACCTAGATTTGTCATTTTGACCTCAATGCTTAGCAAATTGTTTTCATTTGTGACTGATTCCTTCATTGCCACATCTTCCTTTTTTTTTTAGAGAGAGGATGGGAGAGAGAGAGAGTGTGAAACTTGGGTTTGCTGCCTCTTGCACACCCCTAAGGATCGAGCCTGCAACCTGGGCATGGGCCCTGACCTCTGTGCTCTGACCACGAATCCACCTGCGACCTCAGTGCGTGGGAGGGCGCCCGGTGCGGCCACACCGGCCAGGGCCCTTCCCTCTTTAAGGATTGAGTTATTTTGTTCTTTTGTTTCATTGCATTTCAGGTTTTAACATAGGCATTCATTTTCAGCTGCACTTCTAGAGCAGGAGTTGGCAAGCAGGCCATCTGTGTTGGAACCCGGGCTCAGCCATTCACTTCTTGTGTGTGTGTGTGTGTGTGTGTGTGTGTGTGTGTGTGTTTGTGTGTGTGTATACAGAGAGGAAGAGAGAGGGATAGAGTTAGAAACATCTATGAAAGAGAAACATCAATCAGCTGCCTCCTGCACACCTCCTACTGGGGATATGCCCGCAACCAAGGTACATGTCCTTGACCGGAATTGCACCTGGGACCCTTCAGTCCGCAGGCCGATGCTCTATCCACTGAGCCAAACAGGCCAGGGCCAGCCATTCACTTCTGTATCGGCTGTGTCGGCTTTCACCCTGCAGTGATGACTGGTTGACAGAAACCACGTGAGCCAGAAAGCCAAGCACATTTCCCCTCTAGGCCTCTCCCGAGAACACGGGTCAGCCCGTTCGGGCCTGCCTCTGTTTCACTCGGATTTAACATGTTTATCCTCTCTGCTTATCTTTTATCGTGGTGTCAGCCCTAATTTCCAGTTCTTTCTCTTTTTAACCCGTACTGCTCCGTGCTTAAGTAAAAGTTTAACAAGCTTTTAGTTTAACTTTTATCTTACCCCCTTTGTAAACTTTGGTTAGCTCTGCTGAGCTTTTATCTTACCAGTTTTATCTTTTTAAGTTAATCACTGATTTCTTCACGACCTGGCACGTGATTCCCGTGGCTCCCTGTTTGTTGACTGACTGCAGGAAGTGCAGCTGCAGGCAGAGATCACCAGGACGGATGCCCAACCAGACTCTTCTCAGAGCTCCCCCCATACGAGTTGGCTTGAGGCTGTGCCTTCATAAGGCCCAACTCCACTCACCAGGCGCTGCTGGAGGCCGTGCTGACCCCACAGCCACCCCCTCAGCCCTACCCCTGGGCAGGTGTCCTCACGCCAGAACCCATACCCCCTCCAGACCACGCAGGCCTCTGGCCTCGGGCCCAGCACGTGGGGCCCAGGGCCAGTTAAAGAGCAGCTGAAGCCTGTGAAGTGCTGAGGTCAGGAAGAGCTCAGCTGCTTCTCCCAGGCCCGTGCATGGAAGGTTCTCTGTGCTTCCTTCTATGCCTCCGGCAGCCGAGAGGAACCGTATCTACAGCTCTCGTCCGAGGAATGGCTGTCGGGCTCGCCAGGGTCTTATGAGAGATCATTCAGATTTCCAAACCTCGTTGCGTGTGATCGATGTCAGAGGTAAAAAGTCCAGTAAGACATGGATTCTCTCCTCGATGGATTTGCGATCGAGTTGGAGAGGAAGTGAAACGACAGTGACAATGCAGTGGGTGCGCTTTATTGAGACGTGTTGTGGGAGCACAGAGCACGGGGAAAGAGCCAGGGGCACTTCCGGGAAAGGGGACAGAAGGCAGGCCACCAGGATCCCACACCAGCAGCGGACGGCTCACCCCCTTCCTCGCCCAAGGGCCCCCGAACCGTGGCACCGCGTCCTGCCGGCTCAGAGGAGACGTTCCCCAAATGCAGAGATGAAGGAGGCCCCCGGCCCACGTTCCCCCTCTTCTTAGCGACCCCGGGCTGAGGCACACGGATCATGAAGACAGAAATGAACAAGAGACCTTACAACCCCACCGGCCATCACCCCACACGCACATCCCTACAACCCAGCATTGCGGACCACGAAGGGGAAAGGGACTCCCCCAGACATCGGCACAGTCAGTGCTGAGTCCCGTGGCCAGGAGGGAATGACAAGACAGGCGGGTGTGGCCAGGCTGTGCTGGGGCTCAGGCAGGCAGGTGGGACCGCATGGCTGGGAGCAGACAAGGGCCAATAGGATGTGTATATATGTGTGTGGCGGGGGGGAAGAGCAGAAAGAATGCAGAGCGCCCGGCTGCTCTCCAGGCCCCGGAGCCCCTTGCTCCCGGGTCCCGCCCTTACAGGCACTACTTGTTGCCCCACTGGGCGGCCTTGGAGTACACGGGCGTGCGGAGGAAGCGGCTGCTCTTCATGTAGGCGGCGATCTTCTTCAGGCCCTGGGGGAGGGAGAAGGCCAGAGGTGAGGGTCTGCTTTCCCGGGCCTCACCCAGCCCCGCTGCAGACACTCCAAGTTCAGGAAGCTGGCGAGGCTTCCTTGGCAGCCAAACCCCGGGCTCCCGGTTCTGCTAAGTTAACGCTGCCATTTCCTGTAACGGTGTTCTGTCTTAGTCACAGTTACCCCTGTGCTGGGGGCCCTGCAGCCATGAGAGGTTGTGAAACCGGTTTACAGCCTCCACACAACTGCCTGCAGGATAGGTTCTGTTATCGCCCTTTATCAGAAGGGAAACTGAGGCACGCAGAGCTGAAGCCCTTCCAAACGCTCACACAGCTGTGGGTGGGCAGGGCTGGAAGGCAGCCTGGCTCTCCCGCACCCTGTGCTCCGCTGCCCTCCCTCCCTCCCGCCCACACAGGAGGCCTTGACCCTCCCTCCCCGTCTGCACACACAGTCCTTTTCCCACAGGGAGGCTCCTGCCGCCCAGGAGGGACCCAGGCAGAACCCAGGGCTCAGGCTGTGCCTGTGCAGCTGGCAGAGCAGGCCAGGACTCACCATGACTCAGCAAAACGGGTGAAAGCTGAGAGCGGGGTGTGGAGCAGCAGAGCCGGGCCCTGAGAGGCCCTTAAAGGAGCAAGTCCAGCTGCATGGCCTGGCTCCTGAGCCCAATCCCACTGGGCCGGGCCTGCCTCATCCTGGGCAGCTGCAGCCAAGCAGGCCTTGGACACACGGGGTGTGTGAGCGCCACGTCCCCAAGACAGACAGTGTCCAGTAGCTTCCACAGGGCCTGGGATGGCCTGGAACCAAGGCCTGGCCCCCGCAGGCCGCAGCCACAGCTGTGCCCCATCCCTCCTAGCCAGCCAGTCCGCCAGCTCTTGCATAATATCCCAGGCCGATGGCCCTGGACCCGAACCAGAGCCGATGGGAACTGGCTGGCAGAGCAGACCTCCTGATGGGGAGGAGACGGAGGGGTAGACAGACTGTAAGCTGCAAAGTCTGGGCCTAAGGATGCCTCAAATTCCCAAATCTGGGATCATGCCGATCTGCTCCTCTGTGCGTTGGCTAAGGTAACGGCAATGAGCTGTGAGGTGAGGTTCAGGCCCTGCAGCCCACCACCCACATGGGACCTCAGGACCACACAGCGGGGACTCCTGCACTTCCTCACTGAGACCCAGAAGGGGACCCCAGGGCTGGGCCACCTCTGCCTCCTCCCTGTGCCTCACACACAACTGAAAACAAATGTGCCACCTCATCTCCGAGACAATGTCCCAGATCATTGGAAAGAAGGAAGAGGAGACAGTTCTGAAAGGGAAGGGCCCACAGAAGACGTGAGGATAAAATCCGTCTGCCTGGCTGGTGTGCTCGGTGATTAGAGCATCAGCCTGCATCCTGAGGGTCTCAGATTTGATTCCCAGGCAAAGGCATGTACCTGGGTCGCAGGCTTGATCCCCAGCCCGGTCAGGGGGCATGCCGCAGACAACCAATCAATATGTCTCTCACATGCATGTCTCTCTCTCCCATCTTCCCCTCCACCCTCTCTAAAAACCAATGGGAAAACTTAACAACAAAAACCTGCTTCTGCAGGGGCCCCACCTGTGTCTTCAGATCCCAGCCCCGACAGCCCGGAGACCTCAGCACTGCCCAGAGGGCAGCCCGGGCTGCAGAGCCGTCCAGAGACAGGGAGGAAGCCCTGTCTGTGTCTCTGGGACTTCATATCATTCCCACCGCATGGCAACTCCACTGATTCCCTACATACACACTCTGCAACACTCTGCTTCCTCCACAAAGCCCGGAGCTGCGGCGTGCAGGCTGGAGGAGGCCTGCGCTCACCTTCCTGGCACAGGAAGGGGGCCCCTGCCTGCTGCCCACGGGAGCCCCCGTGCCGGGGCTGTGACCCAGCAGACTGGCTCTGGGACCTTGAGCAAACGACGCCCCCTTTCCAAAGTTCCATTTCCTAAAACGGACGTGACAAAGGTTCCCGGTAGGAGAGGCTTAAAGACGACATTTCACCCGGTGCAAGCATCGCGCCAAGCACAGGTCCCGGCATTAAGCAAATCCTCCGGGAAAGCTGGTTAAGCTCCTCTGAGCTCCCGGACAAGAGAAGCCTCAGGGAGATGACGGAGACAAAAGACACAGACAGGAGGAGGATCGGAGGGCTCACCTCGAAGCGGGCGATGAAGTCCTTCAGGTTCGGAAACGCATCCAGGCACGTGGGCTCGAACAGGCGCAGCACGTCCAGCAGGTCGTAGGCCAGGAAGTCCACGTAGGTGAGCTGCGGGCGGGCACGGGGTGAGTGGACGCCAACCTCTGGAACGGGGACATGCCCGCTCCCCCACCCCAAAGCCTCCCCGTACCTTGTCCCCCGCAAACCACGACTTCTTCCCCAGGAACTGTGAGAAGAGCTTCAACTTTTCAGGGAGCACTTTCAAGAACTCGGGCTTCTGCTTCTCCTGAGGCACAAAACGGGGGTCACCACCTGCACCAGGGGCTCCTGGGCAGAGGGCAGGCCTCCCAGGGCTGGACACATGGGCAGCCTTGTCCCCGGCTGCACCTGGGTCAGTGCCCAGGTTACCATTTAACCCAACCTGTGCTCACCAGCCTCCTCCTGGGGACCACCTCCCGCCGGGACAGGCAGTTGGAAGCACAGAGACACCAGCCTGTGCCTGACCCCGTCACCTCGCATCCCCACACCCGCACGGGCCAGGCCCAGGAGCGGGAGAGCCCGCAGGGCCTGGGCCCAGAGGCTGGGCAGAAAGGAAGGTGCCAGAGCTAACATGGCCCAGGGAAGGGCATTCCAGCTGGTGGTGACAGAAGGACACGCGAGCACTTTCTGGACAGACAGGCAGAACCTGAGAGGCTGAGAGGAAGGAGTGGGGGGCACGGAGGCCCTGTGGGTGTCCCAGGCTGCCTGCTGGGAAAGTGTGCTGATGCCCAAAGGTGTCAAGGAGGCGAGGTGGGGCTAACAAACCGCACACACCGCTAGGAACTAAGCTCAGAGCGGGGGGGTCTGAGCTCTGTGCGAAGATGGAGGGGAACTGGGTGAGAGGTGTCATGTGAGGCACCAGGGGCTCTGAGGGTCCCTCTGCTGGCAGGACAGGGACCCGCCTGGAGGGTCAGAAGCTCGAGGAGCTCAATGGCAAGCAGGACGAGCATGAATGGGATGCAAAGGTCCAGTCTCTGACCAACAGCTACGCAGCCCAGCCTCCTGGAGGGGACTCACAAAGTCAGGGCTGTAGCAGGTCCTGATGTTGAACATCCGGAGGTCCATCACCTCGTTCTCCAGCATGTCCACACGGATCTTCTCCTCCTCCGTCTCCCCACCTATGGACACAACAGGGACTCCCCTCAGCCTCCCACCCGCCAGCCCAGGGCCAGGCCGCCCGACCCCCTGCACCCGCCCCAGCCCCACTCACAGAGGTTGTGCTTGCGAGCAATGTAGCGAAGGATGGCATTGCTCTGGGTGAGCTTGCGAGTCCCGTCAATCAAGTAGGGCAGCTGCAGAGAGGAGAGGAGCGGGGAGGGGAGGGACAGAGGCAGGTCAGGAGGGCACAGGCTGCCCCGGAGCCCCTCCCTGCATCTCCCTGCATCGGGGCAGAGATGAAGCCTGGGCTCGCTGTGAGGCCCCCTGAGCAGGTGGGAAGGAATGGCTGCACACAGCATCGTGGGGAAGCAGCCACAAGAACCAGGGAGCTGGGGCTGAGCAGAGGCCCTGGACCCCAAAGCCTCTGTCTGAGCCGGGAGAGGAGGCCTCAGAGCAGAGGCAGGCTCCCTACGCCCACTGCCCCCACTCCCTGCACCTACATTGGGGAAGTCCAGGCCCAGCTTGAATTTCTCATTCAGCCACTGGCTTCTGTCAAAGTCGGGCCCTGTGGTGGAGAAGATGGAGTGAAGGGACCACCCCCCAGGCCAGCCCTCCCTCCCGGGGACCCACCAGGGAGCCAGTGGTCCGGCCCCTGAGCAGGGGAGTGTGGAATCTGAACACTGAGTCTCTCCCCGGTTTTGGGGGGAAAGAGCGCTGTTAAGAACCAGGCACCCACATGGACCAGGCTTCACTGGGGCCCAGCTGCCCCCCCCCCACTCCCCCTGAGGCCAAGGTCCACCCTCAGAGGGTGCAGGATGGCACAGGGCCTGCTTCGGCCAGTGGAGGGCGCAGAGGGGAGCCACAGGTGGCGGGGCCTGGCTTCTCGGGACCAAATGAGCAGGAGTTGGGCCCCAGTCGGAACGCCACAGGGTGCCATTACCGTTCCCCAACATCGAGTACTTCTTCTCCTCGTAGGGGGAGTCCGTGTACTCCAGGAGCAGGCGGATGGCGTGGGCCAGCTGCAGGGGCGGCGGCACCGAGGTCAGAGTCCCAGGGCCCGACACGGGGCGCGCTCCGCTCCAACTGCACCCCCATCCTCTCCCCCAGCACACAGACACCCCGGCCCGCGCCCGCCGGGCACAGGCGGCGGGAGGGGCCCCGGGGCCTCCAGGTGGACCGGCCCCGGCTGCTCAGCACCTCCCGCCCGCCCGCCGGCTCCACCCCCCGCCCCCGCCCCCGCCCCGGGCCCGCTCACCCCTCGGATGTCCCAGTACCCCAGCGTCATGGCCATGGTGCCGGTCGCTCTGAGCGGAGGGGCTCTGGGCCGCGGGGCCGGGAAATAAGCTCCGTCCGCGGGGGCGGGGCCTGCGTGCGCTCAGCCCCCCGGTTTCCGCCCCTGTCCCCGCCCCGGCCCCGCCCACACCCCGCACCGCCCCAAACCACCCCAAACAACCCCGCACCGCCCCAAACCACCCCAAACAACCCCACACCGCCCAAAACCACCCCAAACAACCCCACACCGCCCCACACCACCCCAAACAACCCCACACCCCCCCAAACCACCCCGCACCCCCCCACACCGCCCCACACCACCCCAAACAACCCCAAACCACCCCACACCGCCCCAAACCACCCCGCACCGCCCCAACCACCCCAAACAACCCCACACTTCCCCAAACCGCCCCAAACAACCCCACACCCCCCAAAACCACTCCAAACCACCCCACCCCCCCCAAACCACCCCAAACAACCCCACACCCCCCCAAACCACCCCGCACCACCCCAAACAACCCCAAACAACCCCACACCGCCCCAAACCACCCCAAACAACCCCGCACCGCCCCAACCACCCCAAACAACCCCACACTTCCCCAAACCGCCCCAAACAACCCCACACACCCCCAAACCACCCCGCACCCCCCCACACCGCCCCACACCACCCCAAACAACCCCAAACAACCCCACACCCCCCCAAACCACCCCGCACCCCCCCACACTGCCCCACACCACCCCAAACAACCCCAAACCACCCCACACCGCCCCAAACCACCCCGAACAACCCCGCACCGCCCCAAACCACCCCCAAACCACCCCAAACCACCCCCAAACAACCCCAAATAACCCCAAACCACCCCACACCGCCCCAAACCACCCCACACCGCCCCAAACAACCCCAAACCACCCCAAACAACCCCAAACCACCCCGCACCGCCCCAAACCACCCCCAAACAACCCCAAACCACCCCCAAACAACCCCAAATAACCCCAAACCACCCCACACCGCCCCAAACCACCCCGCACCGCCCCAACCACCCCAAATAACCCCACACTTCCCCAAACCGCCCCAAACAACCCCACACCGCCCAAAACCACCCCAAACCACCCCACACCGCCCCAAACCACCCCAAACCACCCCACACCGCCCCAAACCACCCCACACAACCCCACACCGCCCCAAACCACCCCAAACAACCCCACACCGCCCCAAACCACCCCAAACAACCCCACACCGCCCCAAACCACCCCACACAACCCCACACCCCCCCAAACCACCCCACACAGCCCCAAACCACCCCACACCGCCCCACACAGCCCCAAACCACCCCACACCGCCCCAAACAACCCCAAACCACCCCACACCGACCCAAACCCCCCCAATCCACCCGCACCGCCCCACACCACCCCGCACCGCCCCACACCATCCCGCCCCTTGTCCCTCACCCGACACCGCCCCGTCCCACTCCACCCCATTCCAGGGACGCAGTAAAGCGGAGCAGTCTGGGCGCCAGAACGCCCAAGGGACCCCTCCGGTGTCCAGACCTCGGCTGGCCTTCGTGCCCGGCCCAGGAGCTGGGGAGTGGGCCCTGCGCTCCGGAGACAAATCTGGATCACAAAACACAAGCCCCCTCCCCCCCTGCTTCCCCTCCAGGCACCCTCCTCCCCGGGCTGCAGAGTCCCTTAGCTGCTGGGGGCTGCAGAATCCCTTAGCTGCCGGCTGCCCCAGCATGGCCCCTCAGATCAGTTTCAACAGCACCTGGCAGACTAGCCAGTCTGAACGCGCCTCCCAGACCTTGGAATCCCGGAGGCCCTCAATCTTGGGTGGGTGGCGGGGAGACACTCAGGGCCAGGACACAGGGAAGGAAATGGGGTCTCCGTGTTGGATTTTGGAGGATCCAGCTCTTAAGTCATGTGTCTGAGAGCGATAATCCAATGAAGCCCAGCTGGTGTGGCTCAGTGGTTGAGCGGCGACCTATGAACCTGGCGGTCATGGTTCAATTCCCCATCAGGGCACATGTCTGAGTTTTCAGGCTCAATCCCCAGTGGAGGGGCATGCAAGAGGCAGCCGATCAATGATTCCCTCCTCCCTCTGACATTTAAAAAACTGGACAAGAATCAAATGAAAATTAATCAATTGGCTTTATGGTTGCAGTTGTTGATGAAAATCCAGAACCAGCCCCTGCAGAGAGGCCGGGTATTGAGCGCAGCCCTAGAACTGTCTTAGGCGTCCCTGATGCTGAACGGAGCAGAACCCGGAGCACGGTGGTCACACAGGGCGTGTGAGGGAGTGCGGGGGCGGGAGTGCAGCGGGAAGAGGTGGCCTCTGAGGGCCCAGCTGCCTGTGGGGTGGGGAGCTCTGTCGGGAGCCTGGGGACTCCCCGCAGGACCGCAGTGTGGGCCTGGCAGACCCTCAGCGGTCCAGGCCCACGGATTCCGGCCCCAAGCCCGGATCCTGACACACGTGTGCTCTGGGGTCTGAGTGGCCCCGGCGGCTTTTGAAGTCCCGCTGTGATCCGTGGCCCGTAGTGCCACCTCCACAGGAACATGTTCCAGAGCCCGTGGCGTGTCCTGCTCCGAAGGTGTCGGCAATGGGAACAAGACTTCTCACTCAGATCCCCAAGGACCCGCCCCTGCCAGCTTCCCCGGGCAGACCCCGGGGCGCAGCAGGGCCAGCTGGAGAGTGAGCTCGGTGGCCAGGAGGGAATCAGACAGGCCACAGCGGGTGTGACCAGGCTTCCCTGGGGCTCAGGCAGCTGGGCGGGGGCCACGCGGGGAGCAGAGCCTGCTCACAGGCACTCCTGGTCTCAGAGCAGAGGGGGGAGCTCAGGGCTGACCTCCACGGGCCAGGGGTCCAATCGGGCTCCTCAAAACAGAGCAACCTCCGAAGTGACGGTCAGTCCGATTGGCCTTGTGCAGAGGGACAATGTCAGGGGGAGCCTTCACGGAACAGGGGTGCTGGAGAGCTCTAAAGTCCTGGTGAACTGGGATGGGGGGTCCTGAGGGGGGCGAAGGGAGGAAAGGAAGAAAACAAGGCAGCTGGTTCCGCGGGTTCAAGGAGGACCAGCTGCTCTCCAGGCCCAGTGTGCTCCCCACGCCCATGCCCTGCCCTGCACTTCTGGGCACTACTTGTTGCCCCACACGGCGATCTTTGTGTAAATAGGTGCTGGGAGGAAGCGGCTGGACTTCATGTAGGCAGCGATCTTCTCCAGGCCCTGGGGGGAGAGGGGAGATGGTCAGAGCTCAGGACCTGCTGCCCAACCCCTCCCCCCAGGCTCACACAGCCCCACTGCAGACACTCCCAGTTCAGGATCCTGGCACAAGAGTCTTCCTGGGGCCCCCAGTTCTGCTGAGTTAACTCTCACCATTTCCTGTAACGGGCATATCTCAGTCACAGCTCCCACTGTGCTCGGGGCCTTGGAGCCATCAGAGATTGCGAAACAGGTTTACAACATTCCACACAACTGCCTGCAGCAAGCATGTCAAACTCCAAGGCTAACACGGGCCAAACAAACATGGCAGGCAGCCCTCGGGCTGCGAGTGTGGCATGCTTGGCCTACGGGATAGGTTCTGCTATCGCTGTTGATCAGAAGGGAAACTGAGGCACACAGAGCTGAAGCCCTTCCAAACGCTCACACAGCTGTGGGTGGGCAGGGCTGGAAGGCAGCCTGGCTCTCCCACACCCTGTGCTCCGCTGCCCTCCCTTCCTCCCGCCCACACAGGAGGCCTTGACCCTCCCTCCCCATCGGCACACACAGTCCCTTTCCCACAGGGAGGCTCCGCCGCCCAGGAGGGACCCAGGCAGAACCCAGGGCTCAGGCTGTGCCTGTGCAGCTGGCAGAGCAGGCCAGAGCTCACCATGACTCAGCAAAACGGGTGAAAGCTGAGAGGGGGGTGTGGAGCAGCAGAGCCGGGCCCTGAAAGGCCCTTAAAGGAGCAAGTCCAGCTGCGTGGCCTGGCTCCTGAGCCCAATCCCACTGGGCCGGGCCTGCCTCATCCTGGGCAGCTGCAGCCAAGCAGGCCTTGGACACACGGGGTGTGTGAGGGCCACGTCCCCAAGACAGACAGTGTCCAGTAGCTTCCACAGGACTCGCAGGGCCTGGGACGGCCTGGAACCAAGTCCTGGCCCCCGCAGGCAGCAGGCTGCAGCCACAGCTGTGCCCCGTCCCTCCCAGCCAGCCTGTCCGCCAGCTCTTGCATAATATCCCAGGCCGATGGCCCTGGACCTGAACCAGAGCCGATGGGAACTGGCTGGCAGAGCAGACCTCCTGATGGGGAGAGGGGAGGGGTAGACAGACTGTAAGCTGAAAAATCTGGGCCTCAAATTCCAAATCTGGGATAAAGCCCACTTTATTTGTTTTTAATATATTTGTATTGATTTCAGGGAGGAAGGGAGAGGGAGAGATAGAAACATCCATGATGAGAATCACTGATGGGCTGCCTCCCGCACACTGCCCACCAGGGACTGAGCCCACAACCCGGGCATGTGCCCTGACTGGAAATCAAACCGTGACCCCCAGGTTCATAGGTCGATGCCTGACCATTGAGCCACACCACCAGGCAAAGCAGACTTCACTGATCCTCTGTGAGCTGACTAAGGTAACCGATGATGAGCTGTGAGAGGAGGGTTAGGCCATGCACCTCCACCACCCACATGGGACCTCAGGAGCACACAGCGGGGACTCCTGCATTTCCTCGCTGAGACCCAGGAGCGGGGTGCCAGGGCTGGGTCCCCTCTGCATCCTCGCTGTGCCTGTCACAGTGTCTCATACAGAAGAGGGGGGCACGTCGGTGACTACAACCGAGAGTAAACGTGCCGCCTCGTCTGTGAGGCAGTGCCTTGTGTGACGGCAGAGGGGCAGGGGAGAGGGGCAGGAAGGAAAGTGCCCTCCACAGAAGATGTCAAGGTAACATCCTTCTGCAGCGGCAACCACACCGCAGATCCCGGCACCACAGCCCGGGGACCTCAGCACCCCCAGAGGGCACCCCGGGCTGCAGAGCCGTCCGGAGATAGGGAGGAAGCCCTGTCTGTGTCTCTGGGACTTCATATCATTCCAACCGCATGGCAACTCCACCGATTCCCTACATACACACTCTGCAACACTCTGCTTCCTCCACAAAGCCCGGAGCTGCGGCGTGCAGGCTGGAGGAGGCCTGCACTCCCCTTCCTGTGCCAGGAAGGGGGGCCCCTGCCTGCTGCCCACATGCCGGGGCTGTGACTCAGGGGACTGGCTCTGCGACCTTGAGCAAATGACTTACCCTTTCAGCCTTGTTTCATTATCTGTTAAAGGGAGGTAATAAATCTTCTACCACATAGGATGTCCTAAAGGTTAAATTAAACTCAATGTATATAACACAGTGAGCACAGATCCTGGCATAAAGTAAGCCCTCAATGAATGCTAGTTATGCTTCATTTTAGCTCCAGGACTAGAGAAGCATCAAGACTAAGGGGGAACCCAGTCCGCAGAGCGTTGGCCTGCGGACTGAAGGGTCCTGAGTTCCATTCCAGTCCGGGGCACATGCCCGGGTTGTGGGCTTGATCCCCAGTGGAGGACATACAGGAGGCAGGCTATCAATGATTCTCTCTCATCATTGATGTTTCTATCTCTCTCTCCCTCTCCCTTCCTCTCTGAAATCAATAAAAATATGTTTTTAAAAAGAGAGAAAGAGGAGACTAAAGAGAAACAGTAAGAGGATCAGAGGGCTCACACCTCGATGTGGGCGATGAAGTCTTTCAGATTGGGGAACGCATCCAGGCACGTGGGCTGGAACGTGCGGTGCAGGTCAAGAACGTCGTAGGCCAGGAAGTCCACGTAGGTGAGCTGCGGGCGGGCACGGGGTGAGTGGGCGCCAAACTCTGAAACGGGGACACGTCCGCTCCCCCACCCCAAAGCCTCCCCGTACCTTGTCCCCTGCAAACCACGACTTCTTCCCCAGGAACTGTGAGAAGAGCTTCATCTTTTCAGGGATCACCTTCAAGTACTCGGGCTTCTGCTTCTCCTAAGGCACAAAACGGCGGTCACCATCGGGCCAGGGGCTCCCTGGGCAGATGGCAGGCCTCCAGGGCTGGACAAGGTCACGGTGGACAGCTTTGTCCCCGGCTGCACCTGGGTCAGTGCCCAGGTTACCATTTAACCCAACCTGTGCTCACCAGCCTCCTCCTGGGGACCACCTCCCGCCGGGACAGGCAGTTGGAAGCACAGAGACACCAGCCTGTGCCTGACCCCGTCTCCTCGCATCCCCACACCCGCACGGGCCAGGCCCAGGAGCGGGAGAGCGCAGGGCCTGGGCCCAGAGGCTGGGCAGAAAGGAAGGTGCCAGAACTAACATGGCCCAGGGAAGGGCATTCCAGCTGGTGGTGACAGAAGGACACGCGAGCACTTTCTGGACAGACAGGCAGAACCTGAGAGGCTGAGAGGAAGGAGTGGGGGGCACGGAAGCCCTGTGGGTGCCCCACGCTGCCTGCTGGGAAAGTGTGCTGATGCCCAAAGGTGTCAAGGAGGCGAGGTGGGGCTAACAAGCTCACACACCGCTAGGAACTAAGCTCAGGTCGAGGGGGTCTGCGCTCTGTGCAAAGATGGAGAGGAACTGGGTGAGAGGTGTCATGTGAGGTACCAGGGGCTCTGAGGGTCCCTCTGCTGGCAGGACAGGGACCCGCCTGGAGAGGCAGAAGCTCAATCCCCTCAAGCAGAACCAGTGCAGACGTGACAAAGTGTCTAAGCTCCTATCAAAGCCTGCCCATCCAGATCAGCAGGAGGCAACTCACGAAGTCAGGGCTGTAGCAGACCCTTGCCAGCTGATTGCCTGTGTCCATCACCTCGTTCTCCAGCATGTCCACACGGATCTTCTCCTCCTCCGTCTCCCCACCTATGGACACAACAGGGACTCCCCTCAGCCTCCCACCCCACCAGCCCAGGGCCAGGCCGCCCGACCCCCTGCACCCGCCCCAGCCCCACTCACAGAGGTTGTGCTTGCGAGCAATGTAGCGAAGGATGGCATTGCTCTGGGTGAGCTTGCGAGTCCCGTCAATCAAGTAGGGCAGCTGCAGAGAGGAGAGGAGTGGGGAGGGGAGGGACAGAGGCAGGTCAGGAGGGCACAGGCCGCCCCAGAGCCCCTCCCTGCATCTCCCTGCATCGGGGCAGAGATGAAGCCTGGGCTCGCTGTGAGGCCCCCTGAGCAGGTGTACTGTCACAGGAAGGAATGGCTGCACTCAGCATCGTGGGGAAGCAGCCACAAGAACCAGGGAGCTGGGGCTGAGCAGAGGCCCTGGACCCCAAAGCCTCTGTCTGAGCCGGGAGAGGAGGCCTCAGAGCAGAGGCAGGCTCCCTACGCCCACTGCCCCCACTCCCTGAACCTACATTGGGGAAGTCCAGGCCCAGCTTGAATTTCTCATTCAGCCACTGGCTTCTGTCAAAGTCGGGCCCTGTGGTGGAGAAGATGGAGTGAAGGGACCACCCCCCAGGCCAGCCCTCCCTCCCGGGGACCCACCAGGGAGCCAGTGGTCCGGCCCCTGAGCAGGGGAGTGTGGAATCTGAGCACTGAGTCTCTCCCCGGTTTTGGGGGAAAGAGAGCTGATAAGTCCCAGGCACCCACGTGGACCAGGCCTCCATGAGGGTGGACAAACCCAGGGGAGCCATCGCAGTTACTGACACAGGGGCACAGCCCGCCCCCTTCCCCACCTCCCCGCCTAAGGCCAAGGTCCACCCTCAGAGGGGGCAGGAGGGCGCAGGGCCTGCTTCGGCCAGTGGAGGGCGCAGAGGGGAGCCACAGGTGGCAGGGACCATATGAGCAGGAGTTGGGCTGAAGTCTAACGCGACAGGGTGCCATTACCGTCCCCCATCGTGTACTTCTTCTCCTCGTAGGTGGAGTCTGTGTACTCCAGGAGCAGGCGGATGGCGTGGGCCAGCTGGAGGGACAGCGGCACGGAGGTCAGAGTCCCAGGGCCCGACTCGGGGCTCACTCCGCTCCAACTGCACCCCCATCCACTCCCCCAGCACACAGACACCCCGGCCCGCGCCGGCGCCCTGGCCCTGGCCCTGGCCCTGGCCCCGGCCCGCCTGAGGACAGGTGGTGATGGAGGGCAGGGGCTGGGCTCCGGGCAGCCCTGGGAACCTTCAGGTGGAACTGACTGCGCTGCTCAGCACCTCCCCGCCCGCCCGCCCGCCGGCCGCCGGCCCCACCCCACCCGCCGGGGGACCCCTGGCTCACCCCCCGGATGTCCCAGTACCCCAGAGTCATGGCCATGGTCAGCGTTCCCGCCTGCAGGGCAGCACTCAAGCAGAGCCGGGCTGAAAGTCAGCGCAGGGACCGGGCCGGGGGTGTGACCTGATGGAGGCTCCGCCCCTTCGCCCTGTTAGTCCCGCCCCCGCCCCACCCACCACCCAATCGCCGCGGGAGTTCTCCTGATGACGCGGCCCGGGAGGCTCGGAAGCGCAGCGTTTGGCGTCTGGGGAGCGACTGGCGCAGGGCATTTCCGCCCCGAGCCGCGGGGGCTGCAGGGCCGGGGTCTAGGCGCCGGGGACGCCGATCGCCGGGCTGAGCTCGCCTGGCTCCCCGTCCGCGTTCAGCCCTCGGCCTGTTCGAGGGAGTAGACAGTGCCATCGGGAAACAAATCTGAATCGCAAAAAAATTAAATAAAAAAAATAATAAAAGCCAAGAGCTGTTTGGCTCAGTGGATAGGAGCGTCGGTCTGCGGACTGAAAGGTCGCAGGTTCGATTCCGGTCAAGGGCATGTGCCTTGGTTGCAGGCATATCCCTGGTAGGGGGTGTGCAGGAGACAGCTGGTCGATGTTTCTCTCTCATCGATGTCTCTAGCTCTCTATCCCTCTCCCTTCCTTTCTGTAAAAAATCAATAAAATAAAAATATAAGAGGCTCCTCTCCTTTCCTTTTCTTCCCTTCCAGGCATCGCTCAGCCTCCCCTCTGGGCGCAGAGTCCCCAGGGCTCAGGAGGCTCAGACTGACAGTTACACCCAGAGTGGTGCCCCTCAAATCGAATTTCAATGGGCACCTGTCTCTGGTAGACCAGCCAGCCTGAAAGCTCCTCCAAGACTTCAGAATCCTGACTCCCTGTTGGCCATGCACGCACACAAGTGCTGGCCTTCTAAATAGCCCTCTAATAATTGTCACAGTACATTAGGATTTGCCATTCTGAGTTTTACACATCTTGAGCTTGGAACAGAAACATTCCTGGAGTCCACTGAGAAAACATATTTTTTAAAGCGAACATCACACTCTATTTATGGTATAGGCCTGGTGAAATAAGACAATTCAAGTTACTGAAACAGGGAACAGACTGGCAGAGGTCAGAGGGCAGAGAGGAGGAGGGGGTTGAATGAAAGAAGGTGAGCATGGGTGCCTGGTGAGGGTACCCCATCAGCCCAGCCAGGAGCTGGGGCAAAAAGTCTAAGGTCTCAGTACCGCCACCCTATGGACAAGTTGAGAACTGCAAAAGGCTACCAGTCAAGGGGCAGCCTCCACCTTGAAACTTGGTCTCGCCCAGCTGCAGCCACCTAGAGGGAGGGACACACGTTCCTCCCCCCAACAATGCCAGCGGTTCTGTGAGTTAACAGGGCTGTGTCTGCGCTGAGGGCCTGCCTTTCCCTAACTCACACGGTGAGCATCAGTCCTGGTTGTACCTGACCCGGTCCCACGCAGCCCGGCCAGGTACCTGTGCACCCAGACAGGAAGTGGCAGAGAGGGGGGAAGGAAGAGGCCACACATTTGGATGCTTCACCGTGGGGGCTCCAGCACCCAAGTCAGATGGGATACCTAGGCGTGAATGCCTACCCCACCACCCCCAACAGCACTGAGGCGCCCGGGCAGCTCTGTGGGCACAGAGCCTGTGCAGCGCCTGGACAGGCCAGGGACGGAGCAGGGGTGACTGAGGCTTGGCCTGGTGTGTATGTGCCTGTAGGGTGCCGCCAAGACCTCCCAGACGCAAGAGCCAGTACTTGGTGATAACGCAGAGGCACAGGCACCCTTCGATTGCAGGTGCCCGGGGGTCCCAGGCCAGGCCACCACCTGCTCAGGCAGGGTGTGCACCGACAGCCTCCCAGCAATCAGGGGCCAAACAAGCCTGAACTCTGCTTGCCACGCTGTGCGTCCCAGTACGAGGCTGCGTCTACCCTAGGGTTAGGGTTAGGGCTAGGATAAAGGCACAAGATTAGGGTTAGGGTTAGGACACTTGTTCCAGCTCCCTGCTCCCAAGCCAGTGCTGGGGGCCCTTGGGAAATCCTGTGCTCGGAGTTTGGATTCCCTGGGGTAGGCTGGTAGGCAGCATCTCCTGATAGCGGGTCAGAGGGGGTCAGTCTCACTGCCGGCCATCGCTGGCTGCGGTGACAGATGGAGGAGCCTCCCCCGGCAGCCCTTGAGCACTGTGTCCATCTGCAGCTGGGCCTCTGCTGACCTATTTACCCGCTGAGGCCCAGGGGCAGCTGCAGAGGAGCGTCCCCCTGCTCTCCTCTCCCCGCCTCTGCCCTGCACAGGCCTGTCCCCAAACCTCCCTGCCTCTGGGCTATGAGCAGAGCAGCAGGCATTGGCCCCCTGGGGGGTAGGATAAGGGGGAGGGGGAGATGGAGACAGCCAGGAGTGGGAGGCAAGACATTTTCCTGACACAGGAGCAGTTGACAGGCCTCTGAAATAAACCGGTTTGGCTCAGTGGATAGAGAGTTGGCCTGCCGACTGAAAGGTCCCGGGTTCGATTCTGGTCAAGGGCATGTACCTTGGTTGCCGGCACATCCCTGGTGTGGGGTGTGCAGGAGACAGCTGATCGTTGTTTCTCTCATCAATGTTTCTTTTTTTAAAAAAAAAATTTTATTTTTATTTTTAATATACTTTATTGATTTTTCACAGAGAGGAAGAGAGGGATAGAAAGTTAGAAATATCGATGAGAATCATCTATCAGCTGCCTCTTGCACACCCCCTACTGGGGATGTGCCCGCAACCAAGGTACATGCCCCCGACCGGAATCGAACCCGGGACCTTTCAGTCTGCAGGCCGACGCTCTATCCACTGAGCCAAACCGGTCCCGGCTCATCGATGTTTCTAAACTCTCTATCCCTCTCCCTTCCCCTCTGTAAAAAATCAATATATTTTTAATTAAAAAAATGAAATATCAGAGAACACAGAACTGGCCTTGAAGGAGAGACCCATGGGGACGCTCTGTAGACGGGGCGGAAGCCTGGGGTGGGCGGGGCAGGGAGCAGTCTGGTCTGGACGAGGAGCTAGGGGAGCGCACATCACTTCATTAGAAAGTTCCTCAGGCTTAGCCCTCACCAGTGGGTGGCGCTATACCCAGGGCGGCCCTGCTCTCCCAGCAGAAAACGCAGGCGGCTGGTCCTGCAGGTCACCAGGGTGGACACGGGCAGCCTGCTGCAGAATCGGCCTCTTCCCTTTGCTGAGACCAAGAGGCCTGTCACTCAGCAGGTGGCGCTCACTGTGTCTCGGATGATGTGGGATTCGGATCTCCCAGACAACTTGGTCTTTCAAGATTCTGGGGTTTGCTGGTCCTCCAGAGCCGCACGCCTGTGCTTCTGCTTGGAACCTGGAGTCCAGTGGACTTCAATTTGAACCCTAGCTCTGCATGCAAGGCTGGAAATGGGCTGTACTCTCCTTTGCACAGCACCCCAAACCTGGCAAGTCTAGGGGGGTTGCCCCGGGAAACACGCAGGTTTCAAATCCAGGTCAGCTTCTTCTAACGGAAGCCAGAACCCCCAGCCACACGAGCGTTGCAGACCTCTGACTAGGGGCCCTGGACATGCCCAGTGGGATTGGGGGGCAGGCGGAAGGGGCTCGGCTAGGCAGAGCTGAGGGCAGGGCCATTGTCAGCCTTTCACAGACCCGGCCCTATTTTCCCGGGAACAGAGTTAAAACGCACCCACATTCCCTCACTAAATAGAACTCTTCTTGGCTTTTATGAATTTGCTTTTGAAATTACTTAACGATGAGTAACTTGCTTGGTTTACTATTGGCTAGGATTTATTTTTCTTTTTTGGTCTTATGATTGCTCTTCAATCATCCTGCAGAGTCTGGAACTCTTGCCAAAAGCCCAATTTACAAGTTGTTTTCAAGTCTGACATTTCTGTGGACGCCAAACCTAACAAGGATTAGAGTTGACGTGCATCTCGGCGCTCGGAAGGCATTGAAACACTTGTCCATTGTGACTTTGTCCGTCTCCTACCCTGCAGCCCCAAAGTTTCCCTTTCCAGTCTTCACCCTTTCCGGTCTTCACCATCGCCCAGGCCCTGGATGCAGGCTCTGACCCTGGAGAGAAGCCTGGGCACTTGGATCCTCCCCTGCGCCCAGGAGGCACAGAGAGGGAAAGTAACTTGCCCGAGGCCACACAGCCAGAAAGCAGGGTGTGGTTCCAGAGAGAGGTCACTCACAACATTGGCCACAGTTGTTCTCAACCAAAAAGAGCTAGATGAGGCTCCCCATAGGCCAGTGAACAAGGAATTAGGATTTATGCTTATACTTTAATGAAATACGGAGAGATGTTAAAGTACTTGAAAACCACAAAATTACACATATATCTCAACTCAGAAATACCTTCTTTAAAAATAACTGAAAGACACGTATAAATATATCTTAAAACGTAGATCGCAGGCATGCAGATGATCAGCAAACGTCTGTTGCTATGAGTCAACCAGGTTTTTTTGCCGCTGCTGTTGTTCCAATTTTTGTATATTTTCCAAATTTCTGGGATGAAAGTTATCTTCTTTCCAGGTAGGAAAAAAATATTAAGGCCTTACTGTTTTAAAAAATATTCTTAATAAATGTTTGAAAGAGATTTCAGAGGGAAAAAAAATCCAGAAGCTAATTGTTAAAAAAATTTAAAAAATGGTGGGAGCTTGCTAAGAAACTCTTGGAATCGGTAGTGATCTCAGGGCTGGGTCCCAGCTCACACCGAGAAGACAGTACAGAGGACGAGAAAATGGCATGAAGGGTCCCATCACAGGACAAACTCGGTGAGTAACTACAGAGTCCAAAGCAGGCAATTCTTCTTTCCAAAGGACCTTCTAGAAAGATCCTCTATTCCTGCTCCCTTGTTTTGCAAACGAAGAGAAGACACAGCACATTTTTATTATTAAATGTAAGGAACCCCTTAAACAGGAGTTCCCTCCACCTGGAGCAGCTGCGTCCTTCAGGCAGAGGGGGCTCAGGTGGGGTGGAGGCGCCTGGATGCTGAGCTCCCGGCTTCCGGTCCAGGTCCTGCCACAGGCCACTTGCACCTGCTGTTTCCCCAACAGAAATCAGCCAGAGCTGTACAGCCTCTAGCTCCTCAGCCAGCCCTGACGCGGCTCTGAAATGTTGTCGGCTACAAGACACCGACAAGAGAAGCCTTCTGCAGAGGGAGGACCCTGGATCTTGGCCAGGAGCAGGCCTGGCCCTCCGGGGGCCCTCCGGAGGCAAGGGTACAGGAGAGCTTCTGCCAGGGGACACCGGGCGAGTGACGTGCCAGGAGGCGGCTGGCACAGACGCAGCGGCTGGGCCGAGCGAGCCGACAAGAGGGGCCGAGGAAGCCAGCTTTCAGCAGGCCTTCAATTACTCGGATCACGCTGTTCCAGGGCTAATTGCTTCCGAAAGAGCCGGCCTGTCCTCTGCCCCATTCAGCAGCAGCGGCAACAGGCTTCTTGGTGCCAACCCAGGACCCTGCCCAGCACAGGTCACTCCCCTCCCGGCAGGTGTTCCAGATGTTGTGTTACACACGGGACAGAAGCTGAGCTGGTTCAGTTTCCATGCTGCAGCTTCCACTCACTAAATGGGGATCGGAGGGGGAGGGGGGGCTGGAAATGGCCTTTTAAACAAGCGCCCCGAACGTGCAGGGTCACAGAGTGGGAGCCCACCGCCCAGGTCTGCTGTAAGCGCCCAGTCCCACATCTCCCGGCGGTGCCATGGGCCGCAGTGATGAGCAGTGTCGCCTTCAGAGGGCACGGCTGGATGAGGCTGCGATGGCAGACGGGACCTCTATGGACCTCTCTGCCTCCCACAGCTTCCTGTGCACAGGCACAGACCCTGGCCAGGCCCCACCGTGCCCCTGAGAACCCCGTCCTTCCCTCCACGGTGCTCCTGGCTGGACCTCAGCCACCTGCCTGCTGCCCCTCTCCCCACAGAGACCCACCTGCCTCTTTACTTAAATACTCTTTATTTCTCATGCACTAGGAGGGACGGGACCGTACGAAACACTGCGTCTCACAGCGAAGGCCTCGGTCCACAGAACAGCACAGGGGACCAGCCGGGAGTCAGGTCTGACATCGGAGATGCCACCCCAGGGCCGGTGGCAGGTCCAGGAGCCCTTAGTGGCAGTGGCCCCCGACATGGCACAGGAAGCGGACAGCAGGGCACACGGCCCGGAGGAAGGACGGAGAAGGCTGCCTGCCGGGCACCGACTGGGCAGAGGCGGTGGTCCCACGCCTCCAAGGCCCCCGTCCAGGATGCAGGGGCTCCGCCGGCTCTCAGTCCAGCTCTGACCCCCGTCGGAGCCCCCCAGACGCCGGCAGCCCCGTGCCCACGGCAGACTGCGCAGGCCCCATCTGGGACTTTGGCCACGTAAACAAGACGGGGGGCTCAGCTCAATCCCTGGCCGAAGCCCAGGCGGGACTCCAGAGGCCGGAGGGGCCAGCCCCCACGAGCAGCCCTGGCCGGGCTTCGGGGGATCTCGGGACAGGGCCACCGGCAGGGCCGCCCTCAAACCTGGGCCGCGGGTGCCACCTGAGCTGAGAACGGGCGGAGGGCACCCTGGCCCTGCTTCCGGGGAGGCACGGAGACGGACAGAGGGCGAGACATGCAGGACAACGGAGGGCACGACACGTGCAGAGGCCGCGACGGGGGGGGGGAGGGGGTCCGAGAACAACACGTGGTCAAGCAGCTGAGCGGCGGGCGCGGGGCGGCTCACTGGGGGCCCGGGCTCATGGTGAGGCCGGGCTCCTCGGGGATGGTCTCCAGCATCTCACTCTGCACGGCCTGCGTGATGAGCGCCAGCTCCTGGCACAGCGTCTCGTGCCGGTAGCCCACGCGGATGTCGGGCACGTTGGTGCGTCGGATGTCGTTGCCCTCGGGGCCCTCCTTGGTGTAGTTGGGGCCCAGCCAGTGGCTCTTCACCTGCAGGGGACGGGGAGGGGCAGGCTGCAGCCGGCTCTGCCCTGGGGGGCGATGCCCAGGCCCCCGGGACGTCCCAGGGGAGCGGGCAGGACGGGGAGGGGCGGTACCTTGTGGGAGAAGCCGCTCATGAGCACGCTGTTGCGGGCCAGCTCGCACATGTCGCAGGAGCTGAGCTTCCACACCTGGGTGGCGATGCTGTACTCCTCCATCAGCGGCTCCTGCACGGGAGGCTCCCTCAGCCCTGCGCCCTGCGCCCTGCGCCCGGGCCCGGGCCCTGCCCTCCCCCGGGCCTCGCCCTGGCACGCTGCACCCGCCCCGCAGGGGGCAGCGCGGCCCTGAGCGCCCAGTGCGGGGAGTCCTGCTGCGTCTGACCTTGGTGAAGTGGAACTGCAGGGGGTCGTCGGTGGACAGGGAGACCATGAGGCCACGGGACAGGTACTCGGGCAGCGGGTTGCGGTGGTAGCTCAGGAAGAGGCTGTTGTTGCTGAGCGGGGACATGGCGATGCCGATCTGGGCCAGGTAGTACAGGTACTGCAGGACTGGGGCCTAGCGGCGACAGGGCGGGGGCCGTCAGGTGCCTGGGACCGGAAGCACCGGGCCGCAGGCGTGGGGGGGGTCCCGGCGGGGCCTGATCGGTGGAGGGGCGGTGACTGCCAGGACTCCGGCTGGGGCCTCGGGGCAGAGGCTGCTGAGGAAGATCGGCTACAGAGGGGGCCCGAAGGGTCGGAGGGAGGGGGCCCGAAGGGTCGGAGGGAGGGGGCCCGAAGGGTCGGAGGGAGGGGGCCCGAAGGGTCGGAGGGAGGGGCCCCGGGAAGGAGGCTGGGGTGCAGCCTGACCTTGCGCAGCAGCAGGCCGTGCGAGATGTTCTCGGCCAGCATGAAGGCGGACACCAGGTGGTGGATGGGCCCGGCCTCCCCACAGTGCGGCCGCAGCACGAACGTGTGGAAGCCCCTCTGCCTGGGGGCGAGACAGAGTCAGCTCTGGCTCCCTGCCCCCGGCCGACACCGCGGGCCGGGGCACCGCGGGCCGGGACACCGCGGGCCGGGGCACCGCGGGCCGGGACACCACAGGCCCGGGACACCGCGGGCCGGACACCACGGGCCGGACACCGCGGGCCGGGACACTGCAGGCCGGGACACCGCGGGCCGGGACACTGCAGGCCGGGACACCGCGGGCCGGGACACCGCGGGCAGGGACACCGCGGGCAGGGACACCGCGGGCCGGGACACCGCGGGCCGGGACACCGCGGGCCGGGACACCGCGGGCCGGACACCACAGGCCGGGACACCACAGGCCGGGACACCACAGGCTGGGACACCGCGGGCAGGGACACCGCGGGCCGGGACACCGCGGGCCGGGACACCGCGGGCAGGGACACCGCGGGCCGGGACACCGCGGGCCGGGACACCGCGGGCCGGGACACCGCGGGCCGGACACCGCGGGCCGGGACACCGCGGGCCGGGACACCGCGGGCAGGGACACCGCGGGCCGGGGCACCGCGGGCCGGACACCGCGGGCCGGGACACCGCGGGCCGGACACCACAGGCCGGGACACCGCGGGCAGGGACACCGCGGGCCGGACACCACAGGCCGGGACACCGCGGGCAGGGACACCGCGGGCCGGGACACCGCGGGCAGGGACACCGGGACACCGCGGGCCGGGACACCGCGGGCAGGGACACCGGGACACCGCGGGCCGGGACACCGCGGGCAGGGACACCGGGACACCGCGGGCCGGGACACCGCGGGCAGGGACACCGCGGGCAGGGACACCGCGGGCCGGGACACCGCAGGCCGGGACACCGCGGGCCGGGACACCGCGGGCAGGGACGCCGCGGGCAGGGACACCGCAGGCCGGGACACCGCGGGCCGGGACACCGCGGGCAGGGACACCGCGGGCCGGACACCGCGGGCCGGGACACCGCGGGCAGGGACACTGCAGGAGGCCACAGACGCACCTGCGCAGGTGGTTCAGCGTGGCCATGTTGGCGAAGGTGTAGTACAGGTAGTAGGCATAGGGCGGGTTGTCCTCCTCCACCCAGGCCTCGGGCAGCGGGCTCTCCAGGTTGAAGACGTGGTTCTCGGGCTTGGACTCGTCGTCCACGCTGTCGAAGCCGTCCACCTGGTGCGGGACCCCGCGGTCAGGCCCACGCCCCCCGGGCCCGGGGCAGGCCGCCCCCCAGCACCCTGCCGCGGCCCCCTCACGTGCTCCAGGAAGAGGTGCAGCTCGGGGTGGCTGGCGGGGTGCACGGTGGCCTCAAACAGCGGCAGGAAGATGTTCTCCAGCATCTCCTGGAAGTTGGCCAGCTGGCCCTTGGTGCGGTACACGTCACTGCAGGCGGGGGCACAGGGCGCGGGCAGGCAGGTCAGGGGCAGGACCAGCAGCCGGGAAGACTGTGCGGGGGTGGGGGGCCGGGCGGACAGACTATGTGCGGACGCAGGAGGGGCCTCCTTCTACGGAGAGGGCTCAGCGCGGACAGGAGGCCGCCGCCATCCCGGGAGGCAGCCCTCACCCCTGGATCTCCGCCCGTTCCCCCGCCCTCGCCCCAGACACTCACAAGAGCCGGGGCACCTGCACGAGCCAGCGCACGTTGGGCGAGTGCACGCGGTGCGTGACGGCCCAGCGCGCCAGCTTGTCCCACTCGTCCCGCGAGCGCCCGTAGATGGAGAGCCGCAGCTCCGCGTTCTGGTACTTGCTCTCCTCCAGGTCCGCCATCACCTCCTGGAAACACGGGGGGTGCGGTCACGCTCGGGCTTCCTGCCGCCCCGCCTCACCCACCGCCACGCGTGCTCACTCCGGCCTCCTCAAGCCCCTGACCCCCCACCACCACCCGCCTCACCCACCGCAGAAGACCCGGGCCCGGGCCCCGGCCGCCGAGCACCTCACCTTGATGATGTGAGCGAAGTACTTCCCAGAAACCCTGTTGTCCGTCTTGATGAAGATCTCCCGGAGGACAGACTCCCCGATGGGGTTGTATTTGGCGTTGAACTTGTCAAAGCGATGAAAGGTGTTCCTGTCCTGGGGGAGACGGGCAGGTCACCCCGGCTCCTGGCTGCACGCTGGCCCGGCCCCGGCCGCCCCGGGACGCACCGCGTGCATGTCCAGGGTGTCCACGCTCAGGTCGTAGGCGGTGAGGTTCATGCTCTGGAAGACCTCGCGCAGCGTCTGCTCGCGGCCCTGCTCCACGTGCACGATCTCCTCCAGGTGCCGCTTCATGGCCCGCTTGATGAAGCGCAGGAGGTGCTTCTGGTTCATGCAGGACGAGGCGTGGATGTGCGTGTCCACCTGGGGGGGGCGGGCTGCTGGTCTGGCCGGCGGGAGGGAGGGCGGGCCCGGGGGCGGGCGGGGGGGCAGGCAGGGCAGAGCGGCCGGCCGGGGCACCCACCTTCCGGATGTTGTAGAAATCGCGGTGCGGCACCTTCTTCTGGGCGGCCAGCTCCTTCATCTCGTTGAGCAGCACGTGCATCTGGAACTTGGAGCTGAGGTACTGCAGCCGGCGGTAGCAGAACGACTTTCTGCAGAGTGCGGGGGGGGGGGGGGGGCGGAGGGGGGCGGCTCAGGGCCCGCAGGAGGCCCCGGGGAGGGGGCAGGGCGGAGGCTGCCGAGGGGGCAGCACACGGGGGGCGGGGGACTGGAACTCGGTGACCCCGAAGGGGACTGGGACGGGCATCTGCGCGGGGCTGGGGCGGCAGAGCCGGGCTGGGGGGGCCTCGGGGGCTCACATGGGGCCGTTGATGATCAGGGCCATCAGCACGTTGACGTCGGCCACGAACTCCTGCAGGTCGGGGTACGGCAGCTCCACCTCCGAGCACCTGGCACAGGGGAGGGGGGGTGAAGTGGGGGCTTGGGTGAGGAGAGCGAGCCAAGCGGGCCCTGCTGACCCCCCAGCCAATGCAGCGCCCCCCCTTTTCCCTAGCACCCCCCCTTACTGCTCGTCAGGGTCCCTGCGGGTGTAGACGTGCACCACGCCCCGCACCATGCGCAGGCCCAGGCCCAGGTCCCCGGGCATGGTGCTCGGCTCACAGTGCTCGTATGGGTGCTGCTCCAGCGCCGGGGGGTGCACCGGGGCATCTGGGGGGGAGGGGGATAGAGTCAGGGCCACACCCCCACCCCAGCCCAGAGGCCCAAGGAGGGGAGAGATGGCAAGGCCCCGGCAGGATGGATCCCCCCTCCTCTGCCTCCACCCCCGCCCCCAGAGGCTGGCAGGAGGCTGGGTGTGGGAAGGGGTGTGGGAAGGCAGGCGGGCAGGGGTTCCTGGGCTCTGCGCTCGGGGAGCTGGGGACAGCAGGGCCCCGGGCAGGGCTGGGGGTCCCACCGGCGGACACGGGGGTGTCGGGGCCCGGCTCGTAGGCCCGCGTCTCCAGCGGCTTCTCCGCCAGCTGCTGCAGGTGCCGGCGGGTGGTGGGGCAGAAGCTCTGCAGCGCCAGCGCCATGTACTTCTCCCGGATGAAGAGCGCCCGCACCACGCTCTTGGCTGCGTCCAGCAGGTCCGTGAAGGGCACCTGCCGGCGGGGACGGGCGGTCACCGCCCTCCGGCTCGGACCCAGGCCAGCCCCCCCCACCTGCGCCCGGAGGCCTGGACCTCCGGCTCCTCCCACGCCTCCCGCCCCTGTGGCTTCCGCTGAGAGCAGCACCTCCCCGGCCTCACCCCCAGCTCCTCAGCACCCTCCCCGGCCTCACCCCCAGCCCCTCGGAGGCGCCCGCCCCGGCCCCGCCGCTCACCCCGCACTTCTCCTCCCCGGAGATGGAGACGCGCTGGAACTCCCGCTCCGGCACCGCGTCGCGCTCCCGCAGGCCCCAGTCGCCCTGGCCCTCGGCCTGCTCCTTGTAGAGCCTGCGGGGTGCGGGCCTGGGTTGGAGCCGGCAGTGGGGGACAGGCCCAGCCCGCGCCCTGGGGTGCCCGCCCTCCGCCCTCCTCACTGGAGGTCCGACTCGCTGTCCGTCTTCAGGAAATCTTGCTTGGCCCGAAGCAGGATGTCTGGCTCCAGCCTGGAGGGGAGGGGGAGAGGGGAGGGCTCGGATGACAAGGGACGGACGGCTCTGGCTCCCAGGCCCCTGCCCTGAGCCGGGTGCTGTGCGTGTGCTGTCACTGCCGCACCTGCTGCTCCGGCCCCCAGACACTCACCCAGATACCCACCCGGAGTGTGAGCACCGAGCTCCAAGCCACGCTGATGGCAGGAGGCAGGCCAGCACCCGGCAGCTTGACCCCACGGCCCGCCCTTCACCCCACTGCCCTGTGCTGCCTCCCGGGGGCCCCAAACGGGGATGGAGTGGGAGAGGGACAGAGATGGCCACATCCCAGAAAGCATGCTCCCCCAAACACACACACACACACACACACACGCACACGCACACGCGCACGGCTGCCTGGTGGATCCCCCGGGGACACACACACACACACACACACACACACACACACGGCTGCCTGGATGCACCCCCCACCGGAGGCTGCCTGGCTGATCCCCCGGACACACACACACACACACACACGCACACGTGCACGGCTGCCTGGTGGATCCCCCGGACACACACACACACACACACACACACACACACACATACACACACACATGCGCACGGCTGCCTGGCTGTGCCCCCCCAGCTGCCTGGCGGATCCCCCGGACACACACACACACACACACACACACACACACACACCCACACGGCTGCCTGGCTGCCCCCCGGCTGCCTGCCCAGGGCCGGCCGCTCACTTGACATCCTGGCTGATCTGCCGCTCCAGGCGCTGCCTCCGCTCTTCCAGCTGCTCGATGGGGCTCTCCTCCGGGAACTCGTAGGGGGCGCTGCGGAGCTCGCTCTCAGCCAGGGAGCGGCTGAACAGCTCCTGGAAGGAGGGTCAGCAAGGCCTGGCCTCAGCCTGGGGCCTCCCATGCAAAGTCTGAGAGGAGGGGAGGGGGCCAGGGAGGAGCCAGGCGATACCTCGGCTATCTCCTTGCATTTCCCATCCATAGACGTGCGCAGGTCCAGCGGGAAGTGCTTGAGGCAGGGGGGCGGGCCTGGCAGGGACCGGGCCGACTGCAGTGGAGGGGCCCCCAGCCCACCCCGAGCCTCTGTGGAGACAGGACACCGGGGTCAAAGGGCGCAGGCAGCACCGGGGTGGCCTGGAAGCCCTGGGCCTCTGGCTGTCCCGGCCAGCCCCAGAGAGGCCAGCGCCAGAGGCCCAGGAGCGGGCAGCCTGCGTGAGGCCCCCAGAGCCTCACCTCCGGTCGAGCACGGGGACCCCGCACCCACTCCAGGCGTGGGGGTGAGGGTCCCAAGTCTGCCCCTGGACCACGTGATTCGTTCACTCCGGAATCAGAATCCAGTCCTAGACAGGGACCCCTGCCTCAGGCCATGACAGTACCTCCTACAGACAGGCACAAGTGTGTCTGCACACACGCACACCCTCACACGCGTGCACACATGCACACACACACGCCCAGCAGCACAGAAGGACCTGGGGCCAGGCACAAGTGTGTCTGCACACACGCACACCCTCACACGCGTGCACACGTGCACACACACGCCCAGCAGCACAGAAGGACCTGGGGCCAGGCACAAGTGTGTCTGCACACACGCACACCCTCGCACACGTGCACACACAAGCCCAGCAGCACAGGAGGACCGGGGCCAGCACCAGCGATCCCACAGCCCCCAGGGCCGAGGTCGGGATCAGACCCGCCTTTGGACGGGACATCCGCGAAGAAGGCAGGGCCCACACCCCGGCCCGGACCTCAGAGCCTGGAAGCCACTCAGCTCCCACCTGGGACCAGCCCGCAGGGAAGAGGAGGTGCAGGCGGGAGGACCTGGTGGTGACAGGAACCCGCCGGCCTCCCCGGGGGCCTGCCCTCTCCCCCAGGACCCCAGGGCTGCCAAGACAAGGCCTGGCCCAGCCTGCCCCTCCCACTGCTGGCTGCCCCTCTAAGGGAGCTGCCACCAACAGTGTGCGCCACTTAGAGGCCGGATCGGGGCCGAGGCCCCGGAAGGGCGGGGGAAGAGAGAGCCAGAGAGCAGGGTCTCCCCAGGCAGAACTCCGCGGCACCACTAGGAGGCTGACAGGGAAGGCCTGGAGCTGCTGGTCCAGAGGGGCTGCCCGGGCTCCCAGCCCACCCCAGACCACCCTCCTGGGCTCCCAGCCCCCCCCTCCCAGCAGGAAGCTCTCCACACCCCCGGCTCTCCCAGCTCAGGGTCCCCCTCTCCAGCGTCCCCTCCCCTGCCCCCTCGGTGGCTGAGGGACAGGCAGGAGGCTCTGCCCAGGTGCTCTCAGGCCGCCTCTGAGTCTCCAGGCCCCTCCCCGATGCCCCAGCGTCCCAGGATGGACAAAGGGAAGAGGAGGTGCCTGCCCCAGCCCCAGGACCCAGCCCCCTCTGCCCGCCTGGGTCCTACCTGCCGAGCTCAGGCCGAGCAGGCAGCAGCCCTGCGCCCCGTGCCGGCCTGTCTGCGGAGTGGCCGGCAGCCCTGTGCCCCTGGCCGGCCTGTTTGCCGAGTGGAACTGCAGCCAGTCCCCCAGGACGGCTCCGGGGCCGGCACGGGCTGTACCAAGTGCAGCTGCGGGCAGGGGAGACCCTGGGATGCCGGTGAGCAGGGGCTGGGGGAGCTCGGGGGAGCTCGGGGGAGCCCGGGAACCAAGGGAAGGAGCTTCATCAAAGTTTGGGGCCAAGAGGAACCCTAGAACTAAACAGGCCTTCCCAGGGCCCAGCCCAGAGGGGGCCCCCCCCGAAGGGCAGGAGAGGCTGGAGGGAGGGGCCAAGCCTCCTTAAAACCCTGCCCTGCCCTGGAGTACAGGGAATGGGTAGGACCTGGCTGCTCCAATGGGGGTAGGGGGTAAAGAAAGGGGGCAAGCAGCCTTCATGGCCACACAGGCCTCCTCCGCCCAGTGGCCGTTTCCCTAACCACGTCCTCTGGGGCCAGCCACGGGGTCTCTGGGGAGACAGGCCTCGCCTGGGAAGGAGCAGCTGCCGGGAAAGCAGCTCAGCCAGGCAGGAACATCGCCGTGCCTCCCGGTGCCCAGCGGGCCTCCGAGACCTCCAGCCCCCTGTGCCAAGCCTGCCCAGGCCGGAGAGAGGTTTGGAAGAGGGGGATTAGGACTTGGAGGACGCTGTTCCCACCTCTTCACCAGTCTCCACCTCCCGCGGGCTTGGAGTCCTGTCTACAACAGGGTGATAAGCGGGTCGAGTCCTGTCTGGCCACGGCTGCCGTAGCTCGCAGAGATACGCTGCCCCCTGGTCTGCGATGAGCAGCTCCTGGGACCCTCCACACGCATCCCACACGCAGACCCACCCACCGGGGAGGGAGGGTGCTCCTGGGCCCAGCACAGGCCAAGGCAACTGGGCAGGGAATGACAGCAGGGGACACACTTGCCAGGGGTGGATGGAGATGGGAGGAGGAGGGGAGAGGGGGAGACGCTATCTCTAGCTTGGAAGAGGGCAGAGCAGGGAGAGGAGGGAAGACAGGCACCTGTCCCGCCCCCAGGACCCAGGACAGAGCCTAAGGTCTCCTTGCTTGTCCACGAACTCTGACCCCACACCGCTCCCCCCTTCTAACCCCCACAGGGAGGCCAACCGCAGGCCCGGGGGTGGTCTGAGAGGGGTCAGCAGGCGCTGAGCCCCAGGCCCCAGTCCCCCTCCTCTCCGAGCAGGTGGCCCAGGCCTCCTCAGACACACGGCGGGGAACCAGGCCCCGCTCCTGCCAGGCCACCCACAGGGCCCGGGCCCCACCGGAGGTGACGGACGGACGGACAGACAGACAGTGACCTCCGCACGCCCCGAGGCCCGGCCCGGAAGATCCAGCCGCGTGCAAGTCCCTTCTCCTGGCATCCGGGCCACAGCACCCCACGCCACACACCCTCTCCTGGGCCGGGGCCACCCAAAGCCAGCCACGCCACCAGCTCCAAGACCCTTGGCACCCCGCCCACCCCCTTAGCCAGGAGGCCCTCCCCTCACAGCAAGGACTGCCACCTCGGTGGGCAGAAAGGTGCCCTCGGCTGTGACCCACAAGCAGCAGACGCTCCCCCTGCATGTGACCACCCCCAGGTACAGAGGCCTCGCCCTCCGGACCGCAGAGACCTGGGCACAGAGACCTGGACAGAGACGCTCAGGGCAGCACAAACTGTGCAGCATCCTCCGTGTCTAAGGAAACACGGAAGGCGGATGGCCAGGCTGCAGGGACAGACAGCTGCTGGGGGAGATGGGGTGGGGAGGACTGGCTTGGCCTGGTCACAAAGTGGGGGTGCTCTTTCCTCAGCCACAAGGCCTGGGGACAGCCACGCACAGGCCGGCATCCCTCAGGAAGCACAGCCCAGGCAGCCGAGCCCGGGGAGCTGGCACGGCCGCCCCGCTGCCCGCTCCAAATGGTGCAGAACTGCCTCCCCGAGCGGGAGCCGCACCAAGGAGTGCGGGAGCGCAGCCTGAGCCCCCCGCGGCCCCGCTGGAGGCACCCCCGCTTCGGGGGAAGCTCACAAGACGGACCAAGAACAAGCGCACGACACACAATCCGTACAGCCGGGCTCCCGGCAGCAAAGTGCGTGCCCTAAGGCCAACCCCTCCCACTCCCGGGGGGAGAGGGGCTGAGATCTGGGGTCCTGGGGAGAGGGCCGAGCCTCAGGAAGACAGCCTGAGCCCGCCTGGCCAAGGCCCAGCCACCAGCAGCGTGGCCAGTCCACACCCCCCCTCTGGCTCACACACGCCACATGCAAACAGTCCCAGCACATCCGCATGCGGACACGTGTGCAAATACACCTCCCGCTGCACCCACACCAGCACCCACACCCACACCCACTCCCCGTTACGCCAGGATGCACACTCACCCGGCCCTGCGGAGGCGGCCTGCGGGCCGGCCCGCTTCTTAAAGGGATACCTGGCCTTGGGCTTGCCTGGCCCGGACGGATAGGATGCCATGGCTCTGGCCGCGGCGATGGCGGGGGAGCCGGCGCCGCAGCAGCTGGGCCAGCCTCGGCCACATCCAACCCCTTCCTCCGCCCCGCCCCCGGCGGAGTGACTGATGCAGGAAGCCAGGCCGCGCCGGCGGAAGAGGCCCCGGCCACGATGGCTGGGGTTGTCTAGGCAACCTCCCTCCCGGAGGGGCCGCCATCCCGCCCCGATCCCTCCTCCCTCCTCTTCTCCCTCCTCTTCTCCCTCCTCCCTCCTCCCTCCCCCTCCTCCCCGGAGCCTCGTCCGCGGCCCGGGCTGCGGGGCCAGGACTCAAAGTCCAGGAGCGGGTGCCGCCCGCCCGCCCGGGGGAGAAACACAACAAACAGGAGCCCGGGAGCCCCCAGCCCTCCGGGGGCAGAGTCCCCGCCCGGGTTCCCTTCTCTCCCCGAACCCCAGCCCAGGCCCGCCAGCTCCGGGAGGAAGGGGTAGAACCCAGAACCCCCGTCCGGTCCGGGGGGAAGGGGCCGGTCCTGGGGAAATTCCACGGCCCGGCCGAGCCGCCTCCCCCGGGGGAAGGGGGACGGGGGAGGGGGGACGGGGGGAGGGGGGACGGGGGGAGGGGGGACGGGGTCGGGGGTTGCTTCCCGGGGGTCTGGGGAGAAGCGACGCGGTGTCTCCCCTCCATTTCCCTCCGTCTCTGCACAGCCAGGCTCAGCGATCCAGGGCGCCCCCCGACCCCGACCCCCGCACCCCGCTCCGAGGCGCTGCCCGCCTCCCCGGGTCCGCAGGCTGCTGAGACCCCCATCCTCGCGGCGCCCTGGCCCCTGCTGGGCTCCAGAGACACCCCCGCCCCCCCAAACACAGACACCCACACTCACCTGAGGCCATGCTGCCCGGCCCGGGGCGGACCCGGAGGCCGCCCGCCCGCCGGGGTCTGCACAGCCGGGAGCCCGGGCCGCGAGGGAGGGGCGGCGGCTGGAGCCCAGACCCCGGCCAAGCCGCTCCGGGGACCCCCGCCCCGGCGCTGAGATGTGTGTGTGTGGGGGGGGGGGGTGAGGCTGGTCTTTCAGAATTGCCCGCAGACCTGGGCCGCTGCACCGGCCCCGGAGACCCCGGGAGACCCCGGCCCCGCGTCCGCGGCGGCGGGCCACGTGCTCCCGGCCGAGCCGGGCGGGACTCGCCTGGGCTGCTCCGCGCTCCCTCCGGGGGGTCCAGGGGCGGCCCCCCGCGGCGGGACTGGGGGGGCGGGTTACGCAACAGGTGCGACCCCACCGAACCCTGCCCGCGCGTTCCCGCCGCGTCCCCGCGGCCCAGGCCCCGCCCCCGCCCCGGCCCCGCCCCGGCCCTCTTCCCGGCACCACGTGGGCCGCGGCTCCGCGTCCGCCGGCCTGCCCGCCGGGGACCGGATGGGGCAATCGCGATGCCCCGTCAACACCCGGGGGACGGGAGCGGCGGCTGCTCCTGCGGCCCCGGGCTCAGTCAGCGGGAGCCCTGCCCCCGCACTCCCGCCCGGGGTGTCGGGTTCCCGTGGCCGGCGGAGGCGGGCAGGGTGTGCCCTGCGGGCTGGCTCCCCGGCCCACGTTTGCTGCTATATTTGTGGGTTACGAGCTCCGCGGCCGGAATGCCGGGGTTCAGTTCCGGACTCCTCCGCCCACTTCCCGGCCGCCTCCGGGCAGTCACTCGGCGGGGCTGAGCTATTTTCGTCCGTAAAATGCGGTGTGAGAGGCCCCGCTTCCCCGCGCCGCCGGCGGGGAGCTACGTGAGCTCATCGGAGCGCTTAGCCCAGGGCCGGCCTGCGGTCACCGCCGCGCCGTCAACATCTGTGTGTTATGGCCTTGATCGTGGCGTTGGTGCCCGGGGAACACCCCCACGGGTTGATTCGCCTTAGCAGCCCTCAGAGAAGTAGACGTGGGCTGTTTGGGGGGCTGCAGACACTCGCCTCGCCCCCCTTCCAACCAGCACCCTCTCTCCCAAGCGGCCCAGAGTCCTGCCTGAAACAGCCTTGCAGGGGCATGTCCCCAGGACGTCACTGAGCATATGATTAAGTGTATTCGGGGCCATCAGTCTTTTCCCCATTTCTCCACCTTTGCCCCCCACACCCAGTCGTACTAATGCTGTTTGTCCAGCTCCTCCCAGTTCTCGCCACCCCCACAGCCAAATTCCTTCCCAAATTCTGCCTCCCCCGTCTCTCTGCAGGCTGCAGGCTGGACCCTGAACCCTCCCTCGTCTACCTGCAGCTGCTGTCACCTCTGCTGACCCCTGCCTACTGCTTCCACGCTGAACACACAAACAAACAAACAAACAAACAAAAAAGGCCTCCGTAAACATGGAGGGGAAAGCTCACCTCACACAGAATCCACACAGCTATAAGAGGACCGGGAGGGAGCACTTCCCCCACCGAGTCCCAGAGGTTAGGGGAAAGTCCTAACGCAGGCCAGCGGAGTTAGGAGCTGGGACACACACATACACGGCTGGGGGCATAAACATTGACGTCATCCTCTGAAAGCCACTTGGTAATGTAAGAGCAAGAACCTTTTAAAGATTCATATGTCTGACCCAGTAATCTCCTTTTCCAGGGAATTGTGCTTCTAAAAGGAGCTGCCAGTGCCTGGCCAGTGTGGCTCAATGGTTGAGGGTTGAGCATCGACCTATGAACCCGCAGGTCAGGGTTTCCCTGTCAGGGCACATGCCCCAGTAGAAGGCATCACTGGTGTTTCTCTCTCTCTCTCTCTCTCTCTCTCTCTCTCTCTCTCTCTCTGAAAATAAAAATATATTTTAAAAAATAATAAAAATAAAAAGAGCTGCCAGAAAAGCCTGCATGCAGTTGTTGGTCACGCCAATGGCTATCGGACAAAGGGCTGGACACTTACAAACGGGTCAGGGAATGTTCAGATAGGTCACATACATACAATGAAGCGCAGCCATTACAAATCATTCTCGGAGAATGTCTTACCCAGGTGGAAATGTTTACAATGTAAAGTGAGAAGGAAAAAGGTTGCTAAACCAAAACTGCTTTGGCTCAGTGGATAGAGAGCATTGATCTGCAGACTAAAGGGTCCCAGGTTCGATTCCAGTCAAGGGCATGTACATTGGTTGCGGGCACATCCTCGGTAAGAGGTGTGCAGGAGGCAGTGGTGATGTTTCTCTCACTAATGTTTCTAGCCCTCTTCCTTCCTCTCTGTAAAAAAAAACACTAATATATATATATATATATATATATATATATATATATATATTTATATATATATATATTTTTTTTTTTAAGGAAAAAAGAAAAATGGGTGTCATGATCGGTGCACATGGTATGGCCCTAATTGGGTGACATAGGAAATAAACACACCAAAACATTCACAAAGGATTACCTGTGGGTAGCAGAATTAGGGCTTATATTTATTTTCTTTATACTTATCTGCGATCAACAATGCATATTCATCACTTTTATAATCAAGGGAGAGGGGAAGACCCGAGTCTGCAACCATCTTTAACAGCCCCCAGCACCTACCCCCACCTGACTCCCTTGAGTCTCAACCCCAGACCCAATCGGTCTTGGAGCCCTGAGGCATGGCAAGGCTGTTGGCTCCCAACAATAAATAGTATAACACGTTTTAAAATTAAAAACCAAGTCACCCCGTAGAATGCCCACTCTATTCTGACAAAATGCAAATGTTGGCATAGCTTTAAGGGGTGGCACCTCGCACTGGGCCAGGTCCCTTTAGGATTCCCCCTTAATCCAGACCTGCCGACCTATTTACCTGCCTAACCAGCCCGTTGTGTGCAATCCCTGCCTCCGCCCTCCCAGGCAAACCGGTTCACTAGTCCCTGCACGCTCCTCCCTCGTCCCACGAGCAGCACGCCCTTCACCCTGCCAGCCTCCCCGTCTGGGCACTGCCTCTGCTAGGAAGTCTGCCCTGATTACAGCTCAGCGTCACCTCCCCACCGGCACACACCAGCAAGAATCTGCGTGGGGTGCCCGTGTCTGCGTGGAACAGAGTTTGGGAAACGCAGGCGTGGGCCTTCCCCTGGGGCCTGGGCTCTTTGCATGTCGGGGCATCCATGTTGTCATGGCGCCTCGGGGATCTCCTCCAGCTGTAGGCACAGCTTCCGCCCCGCCTCGCCGGTTCACCAGCTGGCTCCTGACACGGCCCTCCCGAACCCCAGGCCCTCTGACGGGGTGCTCCTTCCTTCTCCCAAGATCTGCTCCTCTGAGCTCCGTCCGGCCTGAGCTCGTGTGCGATGCCAACCTTCCATCTGGGCGAGACCACCCTCTGCAGAAAAGAACGCCTTCGGCCTCAAGGAGATCCTGGGCCAGGACCACCTCTCAGACCATCCTCTACGCCCAGATCCTTCTGGAACCGAGCCATTCCGCTCCCGTTTCCCGGCTCATCCTGGCAGCCGCCCACACCATCCCGGGCGCCCAGCGCTGTGTGTGGCACCACACAGTGGTGCCCCTCTGTGCTTGTTTGTAAGTCTCCCAGGCCCTCACTGGCCAGCCCCAGTTCCCTTCCCTGTCCAAAGCCCCAGCCTCCCCTCTGCACCTCACTCCCTCCTTCCAGTCTCACCAGGCCTCCTGGGCCAGTGGGGGGCAAACTGCGGCTCTTCGGCCCCTTGAGTGTTTAGCAAAGGCCAGCGGAGGAGGGCCCTAATTAAGTGAATAACAATGTACCTACCTATATAGTTTAAGTTTAAAAAATTTGGCTCTCCAAAGAGATTTCAATCGTTGTCCTGTGGATACTTGGCTCAGTTTGCCGACCACTGTCCTAGGCTTCTCTCTTTTTCAAAAATAATTATTTTTTATTGGTTTCAGAGAGGTAGGGAGAGGGATATAGAAACTTCAGTGATGATCAGCTGCCTCCTGCACGCCCCCGAGTAGGGATCCACCGAACCCAGGACCCTTCAGTCTACAGGCCGACGCTATCCACTGAGCCGGACAGGCCTCCCAGCTTCTCTGAGCACACGGCGTACCCTGCACCTCCGGCCTTCCTGTCTTCGCTCTCTCCTCTCCCTGAAGTGCCTGCTCCTCATTTCCA